GACAATGTATGGTAAGGGGCAATCACAAGGACATTGTGTGGTATGGGGCAATCACAAGAAAAAGGTATGGTAAGGGACAAGGACAATGTACGGTAAGGGGCAGTCACAAGGGCAATGTATGGTAAGGGACAATTACAAGGACAATGTATGGTAAGGGGACAGTCACAAAGACAATGTATGGTGAGGGGGCAATCACAAGGAAAATGTATGGTAAGGGACAAAAACAAGGACAATGTATGGTAATGGACAAAAACAAGGACAATAACAATGGATGGTAAGGGACAATCACAAGGACAGTGTATGGTAAGGTACAGTCACAAGAATAATGTATGGTAAGGCACACTCACAAAGACAATGTATGGTAAGGGGACAGTCACAATGACAATGTATGGTAAGGAGCAATCACAGAGACACTATGCTAAGGGGCAATCACACTGACAATATATGGTAAGGGACAGTCACAAGGACAATGTATGGTAAGGGACAATCACAAGGACAGTGTATGGTAAAGTACAGTCACAAAGACAATGTATGGTGAGGGGCAATCACAAAGAAAATGTATGGTAAGGGACAGTCACAATGACAATGTATGGTAAGAAGAAAGTCACAAAAACAATGTATGGTAAGGGGACAGTCACAGGGACAATGTATGGTGACGGACAATCACAAGGACAATTTATGGTAAGGGGACAGTCGCAAGGAATGTATGGTAATGCACAATCACAGGGACAAGTCATGGTAAGGAGACAGTCACAAGGACTGTATTGTAAAGGACAATCACGGACAATGTATGGTGACGGACAATCACAAGGACAATGTATGGTAAGGGACAATCACAAGGGCAATGTATGGTAAGAGGACAATCACAAGGGCAATGTATGGTAAGGGGACAGTCACAATGACAATGTATGGTAAGGGGAAAGTCACAAGAACAATGTATGGTAAAGGGACAGTCACAAGGACAATGCATGGTAAGATGACAATGTATGGTAAGGGGCAATCACAAGGACAATGTATAGTAAGGGGACAGTTACAAGGACAATGTATGGTAAGGGGCAATCACAGGGACAATGTATGGTAAAGGGACAGTCACAAGGACAATGTATGGTTAGGGGACAGTGACAAGGACAATGTATGGTAAGGGGACAGTCACAAGGACAATGTATGGTAAGGGGACAGTGACAAGGACAATGTATGGTAAGGGACAATCACAAGGACAATGTGTGGTAAGGGGACAGTCACAGTGACAATGTATGGTAAGGGACAATCACAAGGACAATGTATGGTAAGGGGACAGTCACAGTGACAATGTATGGTAAGGGGACAGTCACAGTGACAATGTATGGTAAGGGGACAGTCACAATGACAATGTATGGTAAGAAGAAAGTCACAAGGGCAATGTATGGTAAGGGGCAATTACAAGGACAATGTATGGTAAGGGGACAGTCACAAAGACAATGTATGATGAGGGGGCAATCACAAGGAAAATGTATGGTAAGGGACAAAAACAAGGACAATGTATGGTAATGGACAAAAACAAGACAGTGTATGGTAAGGTACAGTCACAAGAACAATGTATGGTAAGGGCAGTCACAAGGCAATGTATGGTAAGGACAATCACAAGACATGCATGGTAAGGACAATGACAATGTATGGTAAGGGACAGTCACAATGACATGT